TGTCCGTGACTCAGTCTTCCCTGTAGGTCGGCAGGGCAACTGCTCGGCTCGCTGCCTGCGGAGCAGCCCGGCTCCGAGGAACAGACCGGAGTCACACACGGTGACCGCGCTGTTCACTCGGCGGCTGTGACTGCACCCAGGTCCGCTCAGAGCGGAGCATCAGCACACTTACTGTCCTACTCACACACACACACAGAGCAGTCCGTGGGGGACAGTGACCCCGAGCCCCAGAGTCTCGTCTGCAGGTCCGGGAGACAGCACGGAGGGCAGGGAGTCGTCGGAGTCTTGTGAGGAAGGGTCTCCGGAGCCAGGCGGGCAGCAGGGCAGGCGATGTCCTCCGTCCGGCAGGCAGAGCCCCGGCGGCCGAGGCCAAGGGAAGTGGGAGTGGCGTGGGGCAGCCCCTGGGGTGCGGGGCTCAGCTCAGTCGTACCTGGGAAGGGGTGGACTCCACCCTCCCGGGTCTTTCCAATAAATGTCTAGGTGCCCCTACTGCCCAGCGGGGACTCTCCCCAGGAGCCTGTCTGCGGGGGGTCCCACTCTGCAGACACAGGTGTTCTGACCACGTGGGCAGATATCCTGGGTGTGTCCCCTTGTCAGACGTGTCTGCTCTGACTTAGGTGGTTTCCCTCTTGCACGGAAGTGTCACGGCCGACTGGTGGCCCTGTTGGTTGACAGGAACAACTCCACTTTGTTTTGTACTCTTGATGCTGTCTTGACCGGACCAGCGCCATTTCGTTGGTCCTGCTCTCCACAGTGGAACTCAGGCCTGTCCCTGTCCCCAGCTGCGTGGAGCTGTGGCATTCGTGCTGAGTCAGAGCGGAAGTCAGCAGGACCCGGCACGCAGGGGAGCGAGCTCTCTCCTCGGTGCGTCCAGGGAAGATGTGAAGACCCCGAGGCTGGGAAGGCGGAGTGCCCTGGAGGCCCTCGGACCGGCCGGCTGGCAGTGAGGGAGCCCTGGCCAGGACGACGGCAGCGGGGAGGGGGCGCGTAGGCAGGAAGGTGAAGCACCAGAACGGGGGCTAGTTTGGCTGTGGGGAGTGAGGGTCGGGGAAGGGGTCAAGGCAAAGTCCCGGGGCCCTGGATGAGGCACCGCCTTCTGACATGCTGTGTGTGACAGTTAACCCCGCCTGTCCACTTGGCCAGGCCAGGGGACCCAGCTGTGGGCTCAGTCCCAGGCAAGATCCTGCTGTGCAGGTGTCCTGTTGATGTGATACACATTCGCATCGGCGGTCACCACCTCCCACGGCAAGGCTGGGCCTCCTCCGGTCGCTGGAGGGCCACGCGCCACGCGGGCCCTTCCAGCGTGGCGGCTCCCAAACTGACCCTGAAGAGCCGGTGTGTTGGAGAGGGTGTGGACGGCCTCATTCACAGTTTTGCGCGAGTACCCCTCGAAATGATCTTACGTTGTGTACACTGGGTTAAATAAACATGCTGTGATATGCAAATTAATTTCCTCTTTTAAATTTTTAGTGTGGCTTTAGTTGAAGGTGACACGGTGACTCACGTGGTAGTTCCATTGGGCCGTGCTGGTCGAGACTTTAATTCTAAGTAATTATAAATGTTTTTTTGGTTCTGCGGTCTTAGTATTTTTAAAAGAGATGATGACCGAATCCTCTAAGGTGCTCGCTTGCTTTTATTTCTGTTTCTCACGGTACCTCTTGGGTTTGTTTCGCTCCCAGTTCGACCCGTGAGGTCTCGTGTGACTGAGAATATGTATCTAACGCCCTGAGATTCCAATGGCAGTTTGGCTGGATACATGTTTCTGTTTCTAGGTTCTGAGGTCGTTTCCTTCGTTACTTTTTGCGAGTATTTGAAGGTTCGCTCCCGGGCCGCGTGGCAGCTGCGGTTGAGGCAGCCTGCGCCAGTGACTCTGCAGGGAGCGCCCTTTGCCTCCAGGGCGGCGACTTCCAGCCTCGTCCTCTCCTGGCGCGTAAACCAAGTTCTGAAATTCTGCGGCAGGCCAAGAAATCGCTTGTTTTTTTCCTATCTGACAAAATTAAAATAAAATAGGCACCCTCCTGACGCATTCCCAGCAGAGGGCGGTTCTTGTGTTGCTGTCCTCATTTCTGTGTCACCGACCCAGGGACCAGAGGTCGCGCCCCCGACGGAGGGACTGGGCACCGCAGGTGTCGCTCCCTCAGGCCACACGCGGGTGGGAAAACGCCGCCCTAGAAGCTCTGGGAATTCTCTGTCTTTGACAGCCCGCATTTTGGTCCAGGGTCTCCAGGTGTGACTTTCTCCCTCCTATTTTTCTCTTATTCTATAGGTCCTTTTATTCTGAGGTATTTCAGTTTTTTTTTAGTTCTAGGAAATCCAGCTCCATTATTTCTCTAGTGGTTACCTTTTTCCTTCGTACTCCTCTGAGAGAGTAAGTAGCACAGGTGCATAAATCACCCATATTTCCTGTTTTTCTCTGATATTTTTGTTTTTGTCCTTCTTTTAAGGAATTTCCTCAATCTGCATTTCCAGTTCACCCGCACGTTCTCGAGTTCTGGGTGTTCTTCATTCAACTATTGTTTTTTTCATTATACTTGGTTCCTTTTTTTAATGTTTCTTTATTATTATTTCATTTCCTCTTATCACGTAATAATTTAGTGGGCTAGTTTTAACTTCTTGGACTTTAACAACATTTCTGCTTCTGGTGGAATCTGTAATCCGTGTTTGGTTTTGTGTGACTGTTCATTTCGTTTGTTTTGGAAGTGGTCGTGCTGTTTTGCCCAGGGAGCCGGCTCCCCCACCCCACCCGTGGGGCAGGTGGGCAGGGCGTGGTCAGGCAGCTGGCCTCCAGGCCCCTCTGCCCCGGGGTGAGTGGGACAGATCAGCCCCAGACACCTGTGCCTCCTCCAGTCTCTGCAGGACTGCTCTCCGTCCTCTGCCCCAGGGAGGGGCCGCCCACGGAGGCTGCTCTTTGGGCTGTGGCCTGGAGGTTTGGGAAAGCCGGTGGCACTGCCTGCCCAGGCTTGTGTGTACCCCGCGGTGGCTCTCAGCTCCTCACGAGCACAGGACTTCGGAAAAGCCCGGACGTTTCTCCCAGTCGGCACTGGTGGCGGACAGGCGCCGCCGGTGGCCTGGCATTGATGGGGGCAGGACTGAGGGCAGGGCTCGCAGTTCCCTCCCCTGCCAGCCCACCACGTCCTGCTTCTGGCCAAAGGCCCTGACCCTTCGCAGCATCCTCCCCGCATGCCCCGCCCGACTCTCAGGGAGTGTCTCATACTTTTATCAGTTCCCCCTGGGCTGTTCTCAGGCAAATGTGCACTGTTGCTGATTCAGCTTCTTAGTTGAACGTAAAAGTAGAATTCACTTATCAGGTATTTACCGACAGTTGAGCTGCGAGGCCCTGGGTTGGGTGCCTCAGCACTCGTTCCCCAGGGTGCCTCCGGAGCAGCGGGGAAAAGACGTGAAGTAAACAGCCACACAACCAGGTAATGACGGAAACTGTGATCGGTTCCAGAAAGGAGACAGACTAGGAGCCTCCGGGGGACCTAGCCTAGGGGTCAGGGAAGGCTTCCTGCAAGAGGTGGCATTTTAAGTGACACGAGAAATGGTGGCATTAGCCACTGGCAGAACCTGGCCAGGGGGACAAGGGTGAAGGACCTCTGTTAAGGTGAGGTGGTTTAAAAAATATGCTTGTGTTTCTAGAGCTAGTTGCAGAGCAGAAGTTTGGTTAACATAACAAAATGTTCTTTGTCACAAATAGCGACGGGGTAGTTTATCTACGGGGCGGGGCAAAAGTCGGTGGACAGGTGTGAGTATGGGCAACACGGAACGTGTTCTTGTGTTATTAGTTATGGATGTGAGTTTTCCAGACGGACAACTGTCCACCACTTTTGCCCCGCCCTGCATTTATTTAAATGATCACAGCAATAAATATATATTTTTGCTGGCAAGTGTCAAAAAAGTTTCTTCAATGGCCAAAACTGTGATTTGGGGCAATAAAATTAATTGCAATAGTAGCTGGCATGTGTGTGCCCCTGGTCTGAAACAGTAGACATTCCTTGTCTAACTTCAAGGTAGTTTCCAAAGCCTGCGTGAATTCCCCCAAGGACGGAGCTAATTAGCTCGCTGCCTTTCCCTTCTGCATTTGTTATTTTCGTTTCCTTGATCGTGCCTAAGATGTAGACAACAACATTCTGTGTAGTACACAATAAATCCTTCTCTGATGTAAGACCTGAGAAAAACAATCAAAGCCTGTCCAGGCGACGGTTGGGCGCTCTCCCCTCGAGAGAAGCGGCTGCAGGACTCTCATCTTAAGAGAGCCCCCGACCGTCCCTTTCTCCCCGCAGGACGGCTGCAGTCTGAGCATTTGTTCTCGCCTTTGGCCACAACACGCAGACTCTGCAGGATGGCATCTGCCACACTCGGCCCTCAGGGGGGACGGAACCCTGGGGTGGAAGTGGTCACCGCGTTCCTCGCTGAAGACGAGTCCTGACTTGGGGTGTTATCGGCCTTTGTTTGGCCCCTCTGGCCCCTCCCACTCACTGCTAGAAATGTGGCCCATGTCCCCAGGGCCACCTCCCCTAATGGCTGGAAGCCTCGAGAGAGTGTGGGGTGGTGAAGAGGGTCCCGGACAGGATTTGAATGTCAGGGTTTGTACAGGAGGAGAAGCAAGGGCCAGAGATGCAGGAGGAGCACCAGGGATGGGTCGCGTCAGGCGGAGCACGGCCACCGTTTTCTCCAAAGGGAGGTCAGTCGAAGGGGCCGGGGCGGAGAAGTGGCCCAGAGGACCCAGGGTCTGCGGCTTTGCAGAGCCTGCAGAATGGTGAGGACTCAGGGCAGCAGGTCAGTGGCTGGGGAGTGGGCGGTGGGGGCGGGGGGCTGGCCAGGGTGAGGAGCTGGGGCGGAGGAAGTGGGGGGCCAGTGCAGCCCCTGCGTGTGCACGGACATGGATTCGTAGACAACAACTCCACATCTGGATTTCCTGGGACAGCATCGTTCCAAAAATTTTCGTTCTTCCCCACAAAGACAAGTCATTAAAAACTTATTTAACTTTATAACTCTGCTGTAATTTTCACGCGATGCATACGGACCAGAAAAATGTTCAGATTAAAACTCCTGAGCATAATTTTTAGTTGCAAAACTATGTTAACCTGGTTTCGAAGACACGGCCCCAGCTGAGCCCAAGGAGCCTGGTAACGCCGCCGCCGCCCAGAAAACCCACGCACTGCCGAGGGCTGACTCCGGGCTCCGAGGGGTGTTCGCAGATCCGAGTTTCCCGAGGCAACACAGCTAAGGGGGGCCTCGGGAGCAGCTGTCAGCCAGTGAGTCACTGCCCCTTCGGGGCCCAGGGTGAATGAGGGCGATGGGCTGGACTGGACACGGACCAGGAAAATACACAGTGGAGAGAAGGCACCCGCAGCGCCGTCTGAGTCACCCTCTGGCTGACGCAGCCCAGGCTTTGGCCTCGGCTGCCTGCTGGGTTTTCTTCAGTTGCTCCATTCCGAACTTCCCCGTCTGAATCACGGACCGGGCCGCACCTCCCTGAGCTGTGTTTAATAGCTGTTTTGGAGGAGACGCACAACACTGTGCACGTGCACACACACGCACCCACACCCACACCCACACCAGCCAGGACTCCTCCCGACTCTGGGCCGGGCACGCGCCCAGCCCTTCCCCTTTCACCATGTCTGAGACTCGCCACAGGGGTCTCATGCCCCAGTAGTAGGTCCCCAGCTGCAGTTTTGAAAACCTCGGCTTGGAGGGCAAAGGAAACCCGTTGGGCACTGTGGCGGGGTGGGGGGGTGGCGGATGAAGAACAGAAACTGCTGAGGTTCCTTCTTGGGCTCCTATTAGCTGTGCGGGGGCGGCCTGGCCAGAGCTGCCTCCCACCTGCAGTTGGAGTGCAGCCCGTGGGCCCGGGGGACACAGGAGGGGGCGGTCCAGGCTGAGCACTGGGGGCTCCAGGGAGGGGTACGGGGTGTGAGAAGAGGAGAGGGCGCTGGGGCGCGGAGGAGCAGGGGCGCCCGCCCCGTCCCCCCTCCCCCACAGCGTCCCCCCTCCCCCACGGCGGGGCGCAGGGAGAACAGAAACACTGAAGCTCACCCTTGCGGTCATTTGCTGTGGGTCATGTGACGCACCACTGGGAGCCACTCGTTCTCACCTGACCCGGCACAGAATTTTCCGACGGCTCCAGGTGCCTTTTTTGCGTGAGCGGGTTCTTCTGACAGCTTGAACAAGCCCCAAGAACACACTGGGGCAGAGGCAGGGAGGTTCGAAGGACGCAGGTCCAGGGAGCTGCCGTCCTGCAGAGCCAACCACACTTAGATCTCCAAGGGGAAAAGGGTCTCAGCCGAGTCCCGGATCTCAAATGACTGGATGAGAGTCGCTGTTGACCAGAACTGGCCCCTTACCTGGTCCGTGCTGCCCCGCCCTCAGCCCAGCCCGCCTCTGGGCCTGGAGCCTGGCTTCCGTCTCTTTCAGAACTCGAACTACACTCAGGGGTCCGGGCATGCCCGCCAAGGACGAGCAGTCATATGTAGAGCAAGGGCTCTTCAGGCTCAGGGTCCTACTCTAAGCAGAGAATCATTCCTCCCTGGTCACAAGTGCCACCCTAGCGGTGGCAATGCAGTATTTTGCATAAACTCTCTGATACATGAATGTGTACGGAAGCACATAGCATGATTTTCTAATGATGTTTATTTGTGGTGAAGTGACTGTGCAGATGGCTGGTTACCATGGAGATGCATCCACTCATCCCTAAGACAACTCCAGACTGGTGGAACCCATTCCAACCCGCAGTGAGATGTGTCCTTGGCTTGGTCCCAGACCCGTCCCACACCCCCTCTGGGGCTCTCTGGGGAGCCCGGCTGGCTCCACTGTGGTCAGATGGCTGCCGTCTGGCCTCAGGGTTGGTGCGGTGCCCCAGGCCCAGGGAGGTTTCCCTGCCACCGCGGGCTGACTGATCAGCCCACCGCCCCCGGCCTTGTGTGGGCGAAGCTGGGGTGGGAGGGGCCCGCAGGGAGGAGGGGGTCTGGGAGAGGAGGCAGGGCTGGAGGCCGGCCGAGGGGGCTCTTACTCTCCTGGCTTCCTCAGCTGCCACTGCCCCACCCGCTGCCTCAGGGACCCCCCTCAGCCCTGCACAGGGCTGCCAGCCGCCCTCCTTGGGTCTCGACCTCACCAACTTCCTTCTGTGTCTTTAGGTTGTGAGCTCACAAGACGGGCCCAAGAGGAGCAGGGCTGGCGCTCTAGCAGCCTGAACACGCCACTGCCACGTGCCAACACGGCGCCGGACTGGGACCTGGGGTGGGTGTTGTGGGGGGATTATGCCCCCCACCCCAGATTCCTGCGTCCAAGCCCTGACCTCTAGTATTTGAAGGCGACCGCATTTGGAGACAGTGCGGTAGACCGGTGATGAAGGTAAAACAGACTCACCGGGTGGGTCCCAACCCAGCATGCCGGTGACCTCCCAAAATGTGGAGACTGGGACACAGACCAGAGGGGAGACCAGGGAAGACAGACAGAAGACGGCCGGTGCGGCCACAGAGAGCGGCCCCAGGTGGAGCCCTCCCTGCCCACACCTCGGTCTCAGAGGAGCAGTCTCCAGACCACGGAGAAAATACACTTCTCTCGTGCAAGGCGGCCTCATCTGTGGTGCCTTGTGGTGGCAGCCCAAGGGACTGTCCCCATGGCCAGCAGATGGCTCCTTCTGCTGGGTGTACGTGTGAAAAGCCGAATGATGCTTGGGAAACGCAACCTTTCCTGCCCAGTCAGCACAGAACGAGGAACCGAGGAAGAGGAAGCGAAATAGCCAGCAAGCTAGGACTCTTTGCTAATCAGGAAATCGGTGTCCCACTGTGGCCTGCGGTCATTGACACACATCTCTTGTTAGTTGGTTTAACGCTACTAACCTCCCCCTCCCTCCCCCTGGTGGCCAAGCTGCATGGCCAAGTCTAGTTACAAGGCAGCGCATCTGGAGACCAATCCCGGGGCTTCGCAGTTACAATGTTAACCTTTCAGCTGGTGGGAAGTTACAATGTTAACCTTTCAGCTGGTGGGAAGTTACAATGTTAACCTTTCAGCCCGTGGGATTGCTCAGAAACAGAGGGCGAGAGGCAAGCCATGTGCACTCCACAAACCTGCACGGAAAAGCCATCCCCAGGATAGTGCTCGGCACACAGTAGGTGCTCAGTAAATCGTTTTCAAAGAAGCGAGTGGCGACTGGAAGCCAAGAAAGACAATACCAGCGCCCGTGTGCCAAACCCGGCCCTGCGCAGAGAGGACTCTTCTTCCCCCGCGCAGGCCGGGTGTGGTGGCCGCGGGATTCTGTTCCGTGCACCGAGGGCTCCTCTCTGCACCGCGAGGAGGAAAGTCGGGGGTCAAGCAGAAGAGTCCCGCCCGCCCAGCCTCTAATGAGAGAACCTGGCGTTTGACACAGGACCATCCGGCCACGTCCAGCCTGTCTGGGCTGCATGCTGAGGACAGTGCGGTCACAATGTGCCTCTCTGAAGGACAGGGAGGCTCCAGAGACTCCTGTGGCCCTCCCACCCCCATCACCGCAGGTCCAGGACGTGGTCACGTGTGGGGTTCGCTCTGTGTCAGGCACATGCAGGGGGTGGGGCAGTGGACCCAGGGATGCGTCCTCTTTCTGGGAGCTTCAGGACTCATGGGGAGAAGGACACAGTGCTGGTCGTGGTCACGATGCCACTGGGAGGGGCCCGGGGTGACAGGCAATGTGGGAAGGGCAAACTGGGAGGGGCTCGCCTCCAAGATGAGGCCTCAGGGGGAAGAGAGGCAGTTTCTCCAGGGAAGCGGCCTGGGAGGGCGGAGCACCCCCTCATAAGTGCCACGGCGTGTGGCTGGTGGCGGCGCGTGGGGCTCGGGGCCCGCTGGGGGCCGCGGGCTTTACCTGGTTCCCACGAAGGCGTCATCGGGTTGCCAGGCTCACGCCCGGGCTGCGCCGGCCCAGAGGCTGCGCCGGCCCAAACCCGCAGAGAGCCGCCCTCTGGGGTGGCGGGTCCCAGGCCTGGCTCATTCGAGGCCGACAGTGTGCCAAGTCACCAGCAGCGAAGGCCGCTTTGCCAGGTGCCCCCTGTAGATGGCCGTCTTCATCTTTACCTGTTCACCTGCCCATTCCGCTCCCTCCCTTCAGGTCAAAGTGCTCTCCTTTCGTTGACTGCCCCTCGGGGAGGCACCACCTACCCCGCTGCGTAAACTCCCACCTCCTCTGATCTAACCAAATGCCCCGTCTGCTTACATTCCAGTAAAACCGCCGCAGGCCTGAGTCTGCTGTGAGTGGGGCTCTGTGCCCAGTGTGAGGCCCGTAACAGGTGAGCGAGGAAATGTGCACTTGAATGGATTTGTTTTAAAAAATGCCCCCCCAGGAGAATGGCTGACTCTGTTCGTCACTGTACACATACCCTCTGCCCCCATCACAGGGGACACCCACTCTTCATCTCTAGTCCCCCCGCCCCCGGGGCTCCGTCCCCCGTGAGAGAACCGCGCCCAGGGCCCTGGATGCTGCGGAAGCAGCTCTCACTCTTCTGTCCCTGCTCATCAGCGCCAGTGTGGCCTGGGGATGGCTGGGCCAGACCGCGGCTGTCCTGGCCTCCTGGGGTTAGACCCTGTGGAAGGGAGGCGTGGGTACGGGGGGTGGGGCGGAAACAAGGGGAAGAGGGGCATTGGCTTAGTGGCGTGGACGACGTGGACAGGTGACGAGGGACTGCTGACCTGCCACTGTTGCTGACGGGGCCCCATCGGGATCGGCTCAGCCTGCGCTTTGGCGATTGCAGCCCTGCTGCACCACACGCTCTGGGGACACATGCCCTGCAGACGACAGTCCTGCTTCTCTGCCCAAGTCCCCTCGGTTTTTGGCTCCGTGACTGACGTCGGCCCCGAGCCCTCCCGCGTCCATCCTTGGCTTCTGAGAGACACCGCAGAGCCAGGTGGCCGTTTTCCTTACTTGCAAAACCCAGAAAACCTCTAATTAACGGCACTGGGCGGTCCCTTGGCCGTCAACTGCGTAACGCCCCCCGTACGCAAGATGGTTGCGACTGGGGAATCGCTTGCTGCCACGAGGCATTCTCCTTCTTTCTTTTTCGGCATCTGCCTTGTTGTGCAGATGCCGTAGCTGAACCTCTCCTTCCCCAAAGGGTCAATGCCACGTGTGTCTTGTTCCCTGTGGGTGTTTTCCCACACCCACCCATGATCCCGAGTCCACGGGCACACATCTCACCCATCTCGAAGGACCCGGCTCCTTCCGGAGGTCTGTCCCTCAAAGAGCTCGGCTGTCATCGCAGACAAGTTCCATCACCTCTGCTTGTGCGATCCTGCCTTCTGCACGTGGACCGTATTTTTTTTTACCTTTAAATACTATTTTTTTACCTTTAAAAAGTATTTAGTGCCTTTGCATTTGGTTAACCAGTGTTCTGTGTGGCAGACTGGGGGTACAAAGACGGGAAAACCTCATCTCACCAACCAGAGTCCCCGAAGCAGGGTCGAGTGCAGGAACCGGGCAGATGCCCAGCCCCAAGTCCTGGCACCCGGCCAGACTCCCCAGGCCCTCCTCGGTGATGCACAGGAAACACCTGTCCAGGTAGGAGGCAGCCCGGGGCTAGCAGCGGCTCCTCCCCTTTCCCAGCCCGGAAACCAGGCAGTGACATGACTGGACCTGAAGGACAATCCGCTCTATCCTCTGCTCTGTTTATCGGAATAGTCATCCTTTCAGAAACGGTGCTACTTAGTAACACATTGTCTCACTAACCCCACCCGTGCAGCTGGGGGAGCTGTGGCTCAGGACTGGCCTGGACAGGGTCGAGTTCTGCACGCAGATCCAAGAAACAAACCATGTTCTCGAACTGCCTCGGCCGCCGCTTGCGATGAGCCGGGCACGGCTGTGCTGAGAGACCTGGAGCAGGGGCCGTGCCCCGGGCCCCGTGGGCTGCAGTCCCTCGTCCCTCAGGAGGGCTGCGTGAACGTATGTCCACACCACTGAGCTTGGGGGCCAGCTCGTCATTCCTGGGCCTCTCTGAATCTCTGTGTCCTTGTGTTGAAAATGGGGGTGTTGATTCCCACCACACAAGGGCTGTTGTGGAAACACAATACAAATGGTTTTGTGAGAGCCCCCAACACGGTGGGGGCAGCAAGGGGTTGCTTGACACATATTTATTTGCTAGGTGAGTAAAATGGTATTTACTTAAGAGTCTGCTCTGTAATTTTTCTTTTATTTACTCATTGATCGATTTTTAGAGAGAGAGAGGGGAGGGAAGAGAGGGAAAGAAACACTGATTTGTTCTGCTTATTCATGCATTCATTGGTTGTTTTGTGCATGTGCCCTGACCAGGGATCAAACCTGCAACCTTGGTGTGTGGGCCCGGCGCTATAACCCAGGGCCGCTCTGTGACTTTTTTTTTCCCAGAGAGGGGAAGGGAGGGAGAAGAGAGGGAGAGAAACATCAGTGTGTGGTTGCCTCTTGTGTGCCCCCTACTGGGGACCCGGCCTGCAGCCCAGCTTGTGCCCTGACTGGGAATCGAACCAGCAGCCCCTTCATTCACAGGCCAGGGCTCAGTCCACTGAGTCACACCAGCCAGGGCATCTCTTTTCTTAATGAAAGTGTACAAGTGGTGGTATCTCCAGCAGAGAGATACTGTGCTAGAGTGAGAACAGGTGGAAACTGTCTCGAGTGGAGCAGCCTAAAGAAGAGGAGTGTTCGTGGTCCTGGTTTTGTGGGCCCCCTCCCACATCCCTCAGAATTGCTCTGTGGGCGAGCTTCCTTAGCTGCGGCCTTGATGATCACACCAAGGCCGCGCATCTGTTCCCAGCAGGCCAGTTCGCGCTGCTCGGCTCCATGTCCGTACTCGCTGATTTTGACCCAGCTGGCAGACCCGCAGACCTGAGACCGGGTCCCAGAGGACACTGGGGTTTTGGCAAATACCTCCTGTCTGCGGGAGACCCCACGCCGGCTGTCACTGTCATTGCGGCCTGAAGGTGGCGCTGTTTCTCCAGGAATAAGGCGTGGGGTGCAGGTGTGGGCGTGATGGGACCTCCTTTCAAACACAGGCGGTGGTGGGCGGGACCTCCGCCCGATTCCCTCTTTCCGGGCAAGAACACAGTCTCCTGGGCTGGACCGCCTGCCTGGAGTCACCCCACACAGGCAAGCCTTGCCCCATCACGAACCCCTCCCATGACAGTGCCCTGAGGGTTTCCTGGCCCGAAACGGGGTCAGGCAAAAAGGGAGGAGCCAGTGCTGCCTACACTGGGGACGTTTCCAGGTAACTCAACTGTCATCGAATTGGAAACGTCTATGAGTCC